TCTATATAGGTACTTCAACTAATCATGTTTGTATTACTTCATGCGTGAAGTTAACGATTTACATTGTTGGAGATGCAATTTCCAAACCTATTGACTAGATGCTTACGTCAGATGACGACTTGAGTGTGAAATCGATAGAACTGTTTCCGCACATCGAAGGTACGTCCCTAACGTGATACCCCAACATTATCCCTCCCAACAGGGGAGATTGGTAAAGGAGATGATCAGCCCGATTCGTACCTTCTTCAAAATTGACCTTTTTTCGCTTTCTACTATCTATATTCAATTTTCACACTGCCGTACTCTAACGGAACTATTAACTATATCCTTTCCACACATTTTCCAGCCATTGTGTCCCAGTCTTATTATCCTACTGTTTTTGTGCTACTTGTCCCTGCCCAGCCAGGATTTGGTCAACCGTCCGAGAGTAGTATCTGAAGGAGGCTTCAGAAACCTGTTTCCTACCTAGCTCCTTCCAATCGAAATTGTTACCCATTAACCTCGAGCCCGCTATAAGTAATTGGTTCCCAATACTAATCTAGAACTACTGCTGTTTAAAATGTAAATTCAAACGTTACTGATTTTTGGCTCCGCAAAGTGTCACACATGACTGAGCCTAGTAAATAAACGAACTAGTTAAAAAAAAAGTTCAAGGGCAATTTTAAGGAGAATCCCAATTGAATTTGCAGTAGAATTTAGAGGAGAAATTTAGAAGGGCAATTTCTTAGACGAATTGCATGCCCGCATAGAAAAATACCATTTCTAGAACAGTTCAAACTTCACTGACACCTTACTAGCTATGTTAACTTTACACAAAATAGTTTTGTTATGGTTTATGGAATGTAATAAACATTAAAGAAACACTACTTTCAACTGTTACAGTTTCTGGTATGTTCCAGCTAAATTTTGTTACGGTTGATCTACTACACTGAACTGTTACAAAACATTACGAATAAAAGTTGTAAACAACTTGTACAACACTTACATGTTTCGATTATGGTTGCTTTATGTTTTTACAATTGGTACAAACAGAAGAAAACGCTTTTGATTGAAACGGTGCTCGTGAGTTTATTGTGTTGTTTTGTTCGTTATTTTATTTTTAAAACCCTTGGTAATATTAGCTTAAAGTATAAAATATTTCTTAAAAGCACATGCATTTTTTACACAAATATTCAGTGCTAACAGCGGTTTACATGTGAAGGAGATTTCGATGCTGGTGGCTCACATCATCCAAAAAGGAAATCGAAGCAGGTTCGTTTTGCCGGGGCCTTTTTATCTTCCAGAAATGGAATGGAGTTTGTTTTGCAGGGCAAATTTATTTTTTTATTCATTTATATTAAGATCAATAAACATTAGACTGATGCAAAATTTGACTTTTTCGCTCCACAGTACTTAAACGATTCCAAATCGGATCCTGACTAACCTCTCAAAATCTGAACCCCTTTGGTAAGAAACTGAGATGGCACAAACCATTTGAAGTTTGTATGGGAATTACTATGGTAAAACCAAGATTTTTGTTCATGTCTATCTAATAATTCACCATATCGGTCTGCTTCAAAAGCTTTCTACTGTAGTTTTAGGAAATTTTCCCAGCTACAATTTTGCCAAAGACCACTTTTTGATTAAATGCCAGGATCGAAAGTTATCAATGGTTCAATGCGCTGATGTCTAATGATCATGCTCAATCAACTGCTCAGCAGGCAACATTGGTGTTTCTGGGGCGTTGAATAGGACACAAAAATCATGGCTACTATGTCACACTGCAAAATACAGTGTTGCCTACAGAGCAGCTGCTTGATCATGTCATAAGTTTACCAATCTCTTAAATAATTAATAACTTTTTCCTGTCTCGTTTTACATAGAAACGATCTTCAGCAAAATTGTAGCTGAGAAAATTTTCTTTAATAATGGCTATCGAACTGTTTCGCAGCTCAATATGGAAAAAGACTAGAAGGAAATGAACAAAAAGTTGAGATTTCCCATAGTAATTTACATGTAAACTTCAAATGGCTTGTGCGAAGTCTGTTTCTAACCAAATGAGTTGTAACTTTGGGAGGCTAATCAGGATCCGATTTGAAACCATTTAAGTACTGTGGAGCGAAAAAGTCAAATTTTGCATCAGTCTAATGTTTATTGATCTTAATATAAATGAATAAAAAAATAAATTTGCCCTGCAAAACAAACTCCATTCCATTTATGGAAGATAAAAAGGCCCCGGCAAAACGAACCTGCTTCGATTTCCTTTTTGGATGATGTGAGCCACCAGTATCGAAATCTCCTTCACATGTAAACCGCTGTTAGCACTGAATATTTGTGTAAAAAATGCATGTGCTTTTAAGAAATATTTTATACTTTAAGCTAATATTACCAAAGGTTTTAAAAATAAAATAACGAACAAAACAACACAATAAACTCACGAGCACCGTTTCAATCAAAAGCGTTTTCTTCTGTTTGTACCAATTGTAAAAACATAAAGCAACCATAATCGAAACATGTAAGTGTTGTACAAGTTGTTTACAACTTTTATTCGTAATGTTTTGTAACAGTTCAGTGTAGTAGATCAACCGTAACAAAATTTAGCTGGAACATACCAGAAACTGTAACAGTTGAAAGTAGTGTTTCTTTAATGTTTATTACATTCCATAAACCATAACAAAACTATTTTGTGTAAAGTTAACATAGCTAGTAAGGTGTCAGTGAAGTTTGAACTGTTCTAGAAATGGTATTTTTCTATGCGGGAACCAATGACGACTGTATTCCGGATAAGCTACGACAGTATTTATTATAACGTCAATAAGTATGGTAATTTATACCATTTCATAGTATATCATGAAGTTAACAACAATGGTTGGTTCTAAACCTTACTACCTTATTCGAAAGTTAATGGAAATAGTTTCACATATCCAACAAGAACCTTTTCTGATGTGGTAAGGTTATAGTTGATTTGCAAAAAATGTATGGGAAAAAGCGAGATTTCGTATGGTGAACGTTCTTAACCACCCATTGTTCGTATGGTTGGGTCTTCGAAAACCTTAATCAATATGGTCAAAACATTATCTAGGTATGGTTTGATTAAAGTTGACTAAACCTTTCTCATTATGGTTTTCGGAGGAAGATAAACCATTTTCAATGTGGTAATCGTATGGTTGTGATTTATGCGGGTGGGAATTTAGAAACTAAGAAGAAATCAAGCCAATTAAAAAACCGGAAGGAACGGAAAAATTAAAATTCAAAGAGAATCTATTGACTAGTTTCATGAATTTTTTGGAGTGTTCTGCAAAGAATTTCTGGACTGTTGTAAAAAAAAATTAAGGGACTCCCGGAAAGAATCTCAAATATATTTTAGAAGAATTCTGAGAAGGGAAATGCTTGAGAACAATCAACTAAAATCCTGTAAATTTTTGAGTAAATTTGCAAAGACAAATTTTGAAAACTTCGTACGGAGAACTAAATTTAAACAATGCTGTCTCATTAGTAATGACTAAAACCTAGTAATCTTATCGGTTTAATCGCATTAGGTTTTATGATTGATTTAAATGTACACTGAACCAACGAGAAACGTAAATTTCCCCTGAAAATTCAGGTAACTTCCTAAAGATAGTAATACAGTACGAATTACTTGCTAAACTTAATATTCAATGGCATGGTAATGAATTCAACTGGATTGACTGGTCGAGTTGAAGTGTCATACTGGTGAAAGTTATGTGAAATTCACGTAGGTTTTACGAATGAGATTTCTTTTTAGTGCTCTTTGCTTATTCATAAGTTCAATATGGCGACAATAGCAAATATGTGGACAATCCCTAGATCGTCTACTTGAAGTTTTCTAAGCGTGAGTTTAATATTAATAATTTAATCCTTATTTATTAAATCCTAAATTAAATTGCAGAATGCGGAATCGGATTGATTGAGCTCCTCACAATCTCAATCGATATGATTCAAGATTTATTTCGACAAACGGAAGTCAAATGGAGGTTAAAAAAAGAAACGTTTGTAATCGAAATTTGAAGATGTCAATACATCAATACTTAATTTCCTGTTCCTACTATTTCATACAGAAAATGATTAATGAAAATGAAAATCTATGAGATAGAGTTGAATTGTAATTTAGATTACAATGTTTTTTTATTAGTAAAAAAATAAATTAAATTTAGGGACTTTATCTGAAATTGAACAACATCGCAAATCAGTGAATTGTGTTGTTTTTTTTTGCTGTTTGAACTAGAATGCATTGTTTATGATAAATTCAATAAAATAATAAACCGAAATTAAAATTAAATCTACCACCTTTGCACTTGAATATTACTATAAAATCCAGTTACATTTACTTTAAAATTCACGTAGCTATTAAGTGAAACCTATGTGTAGATCATCGGAACGTTCGATAAAATTTACGTGAAAATCACTTGATTTCTATATGAATCACATGGAACAGATTTTCATTCGCAAAAAACGTAATTTTCACCTGAAGAGTACGATGGAAAATATCTATGTACTTTTTCAGGTGAATATTAAGTGAACTTTTATTGCAGTGTACATCGCACAACCGGGGAATTGCTAATCGAGATTTGCTGGTCACTATGGTAATAACCAATGCGTGGTAATGCTCTACTATTGTACATTTTCAGATCAATGCCATTCGCCTAGATTTCCGCAACCAGCATTACGTTCACGCTGTCTTCCATCACCAACCGCGGAGCTTCGCTAGTGTCGCTACACCCACACAATCACCTGCTGCTTACCTCCACCCACCTGCACCCCATTTCCGCACCCAACGAGCTGACGAACGAACACGGTGCGAAAACAAACCGAAACCGAGACGAACAAACCATGCTTGTTTGGGTTTGGGTCCTCTACAGTCCTACCCTACGGACGCTGCTACCCCGCACCGACAACCAACCACCAACGAACAACGATAAATTTTATCTCGACGTCGGCATTCTCGCCTCCAAGTCGCTGGATGGAACGAGTCAGTCAGTACCGATTTGTATTTTGACGCGATCGCTTTGTCGTTGGCCCGTGTGGTGCGGAGAAATATATCTGCTGTGACGTGCGGCCCGCTGAAAATCAAGCTCGAGATAAAAACGGTTTCCAATCAACGCCAACTTTGATTTGGTCGTGGCATTTTTATTTTATTTTTATTGAATGGAGAAGAACGTTTCGTGCGAAGGTGTGTGACATTTTTGAATGACACTCACGCGATCGTCGAAAGGAAACAATAGTGAGACCCAATCCGACGGTGCGTGTTCCTATGTGAGTTAAGTGAGGGTGATTCATGAGTCAGAATTTTGCGCTTTTTGAATGGAAAACGGGGAGTAACCGCCGTTGGAGTTTTTGATCGTCGTATAATAGGCAACAATTACGCCCACACACACGAGATTCTTGGGCTCGTGCGGTTGGTGAGTTGGTTGATGGTTTGTACCTGGAAGCGAGCGAAGAACGAAAAGTGACAGAAAAGGGAGGAGAAGATCCGGAAGAAACCCGAACAGAATTTGTGATTTTTGTTTTCGTCGGGCTGCAGGGTGTCATTGAATAGCACCAGTCAGTAGTTAGTGTAGGCTGGATTGTTATTATGCGGAAAAGGAGAAGCATAAAAGTTTAGAAGAAAAGAAGCGGAATAGCCCGAGGCCGTCGGAGGAAGTAATAAGTGCAAAGTTCCGAACGAAAGGAAACCGGGTATAAGTGAAGAAAAAATATTGTGTGGCAAAGAAATCGATGGAATGTGATTGTGGCAAGTGATTCCTTCACGGTAGGAAGAAGTGTGTCTGGTGTTTTGGCAGTGTAACGTGAGTGCAAATTAGAGAACGACGAAAATAACTAAGGCCGAGGAGCTTAGAAAGAGAAGAGGCTTTGGCAAGGATAAGCCGTTTGTCGTTTGAATTGATAAGAATCCATTTGTGGAAGGCGAGAGCCAGCGATACCTTAATTGCTGTTGGTGGTGGAACCACCGCGGTCAAAGATGGACGGGAAGGAGAAGGCAAAGGAACCGGAAACGTCGTTCCGCTTCATAAGGGTGAGTAGAATTTTTGGGTTTTTCTAGAACACCTTAACGGACGATTATTTAATGATGTGCAATTCATCGCCTATGATTCACGGCGATCGTGAAGTTATTATCAAGCCTTGATTTCTGATTGTGGGGACGATAAAACAACACACTTACTACCGTGATAGCGGGGGCTTTTTCATCTACGCCGTACGTAGTTAATCATCGCTGGAAAATGTCGATTCTAATTGATGCCAATACTAATAGGATGAAGATACAAACGGTGACTGTTTAGTCGGAATTGTGCTTTGAATTACTCGTTATATAGGCAACTATTGCGCGTTGATGATGGTGATAATGACGATACGATCATTCGTACCTAGGTTTATTGTAATTGTAACACATCATCAACCGAATCCCTTGGTTGTTACGATTGGTACTGTTTACACGAGCGAGATAAAATTGTTTAGTTTGTTGTTGAATATGGTACGGCGTCAAGCACAGGTTGTTATCTCCATATGCGAGCAATGAATCAGATATACGATTCAACGGATCCTCCTAGACGGAAGAATTGAATCTTTTCAGGTCGCCGTTAACCGTCAACGTTCAACAACCCATAAATTGGATCTACTTTGTAATATTATATTTCTATGTAGGTACCACACCGTCGTCAGTTATAGTTTGGAGCGGATGTGTGCACTGCCCCGTCGTCCATCATCAATCAATGAAAACATCAGAAATTTGCTCTTGGCGCGCTGGCTTTGAGAAAAGTGGTGGATCTCCGGTTCTAGCCGGTGGCGATCCTTCTGCTGCGCTATTAATTATGCATTATGAGAGTACCTACATACTAGAGCACCTGCCTGCAAGCTAACTGACCAACGACATGGGTACACATGCAAGAGTATTGCAAAAGCTGACAGCGATACAGCTGAGGCTATCTTATGGATGCAGTACTACACACGACGTGATTATGGCGTCTTATTAAAAGATAAAGGCATTTCTCTTTCTCTTCACTAACAAGAAACTTGGGCGTCGGCGATTGAGGTTCATAATACTGGCTGTTAAGTGTGAACGTTAGCGTCAGAGGCTTAGCAAGGAGGAGATGAACTCCTAGTTCAGTTCACTGGAAATCAAAGAAACTAGATTTATGCAGTTGAATCGATTTCGAATTGGTTTGAAGTTTTGACTTCTAGCATCCAGATAAGACCGGGATTTTAAGCCCAGAAATAAAAAAGGTTAATTAAGAATAAGTGTGTAACAAGAAGAGTTGCGAACGGAAACCTTTGACGAACCGACATGCCACTGGAGCATTTCGTCTGTCCACAATAGATTGACGGCAACAAGTTAATCAAACAAAGTATTTCTATGGAGATTTGAACCTACGGATGCCCTTACCGTCGTGGCTACGCCCCTGCGTTGAAGTAGCCCCCTAGAATGGTCAACGACTTTCTACGGAGCGCCGGTCAGTCGCCATGCAATCCGCGAAGAAAGTGAGATTATGTTTCACTCCGCTGCTGTAGTAATCGCTTCGTTTCGTGACCCTTCTGCGCAGCACAGCGATGCAGTCGCCGCAGTTACCTACCTGCCTAGCTACCTAGTAGTTGTAATGCAATATTGCATCTGGGATCTCGAATCATGCAAGATGGAAAAGCGCCAGCGGAGAAAAGTCATAATTTATCACTCAACTGGTAATAGTTACTATGCAGTGGTAGGTGTGTTTGTTCGTGCAAAGCTGCAGAGCGGATGTGGTTCGCGTTTTCTACATGCTGCGAAATGATACAGAAATCAAAAGCAATTTGTGGATTTGCTGCGGTTCGGCTTGTGCGAGTTGGAAGACTTGAATAACTGTCAAGCGCTTGGGGGGGAAAATCGGTTTCCATTGGGTGCGGAGCGGACAAACGAAAGTTAGGCTGTTTTTGCTGACGACTTATGAACATTGTACTCCCATCCGATAAGGCTAGAGTGATAAGAAACATTCTCGAATGTTGTCTATCCGACGGAACATTCCACGAAATAGAACGACCTTTTGGATTTATCCTCGAACGGTTAAAACAAAAGACTGGTTAAACTGAGCTCTGTTTTGATAAGACCTTATCTGTTGTGCATCATGTCCGATCGATTTTCTTATCACCTGATACGGGGTTGCTACTTGCCTTGTTTGTAGTCATTGAGATCCACTTACACATTTTTATCGGTCGAGTATCGATGGATGCCATCTGGGCGTCAAACGGGGTGGCCACTTAACCGGAAAAACCGGGAATTAACCGGGGATCGAAAACTACCGGGAATTTGATTGGAACAAACTAAGTCCCTAAAAAGTTTCCTTTTTTAAGGCCATGTCACTAAAGTCTCTTTTTTCTAGTAATCAGTCACTATATTTTCAACATTTTAAGCGTGAATTTATTTCAAGATTGTTGATTCTTCTTGTAGTGTGTAGGATCACATGCCTGCAGTTTGTTCTAATTTTTGAACAACTCGAAGGTGTTGTGCTTCTATAGAGCTTATTGACGTCGTTTTCTATCTACAGGGTGTTTAGTCATTTGGCTAAATAAAATTCCATGAGTTTTCCAGGTTTTAAATGCGTTAAAAATGTGTTTTTTTCTTTTATTAAAACAACAACAACACCAATTAACGCAATCGTTTTTAAGACATGACAATCAGTTTAAAAGAATCAGTTTAACACTTACTTAATTTAAGTAAGTGATCTATGTTCTCAAAACATTTAATGCCTTGAAGCTTCGTACTCCATGATTCATGATATTGAAAATTTTCAAAGTGTTACAATCAAGGATAAAAAAGATTTATTGCAATTTTGTAATTAACTTAATGATTTTTAGTGAACTCCCATTAAGTTCACAACAATTGTAGAAACTTCACATAAGTTTTGAGGAATTATAGGAAATTCTGTGAATTTCAGTCAAGTTTCATAAACAAACTGCGGGAACATAAAGGAACTTGACATCCTGAAAATGCGAGAAACTTACTGGAAGCTTTTAGAACCTCAAAGCAGTTCTATTAGCTTCCGAAGGGAACTTCAGAAATATAGATAACTTGAGAAAAATGGTGGAATTTTTTTAGATCTAAAGTACTTCAGAAAAGCTAGATCTAGAGATCTTTGAAGAATTTCAAGGATCTTAAGGGCAGTTCTCGTAACCTTAGACCATACTTTTGGAGCAGTTTAAAGATTGTTCCATGATGCGCTGAAAAAAAAATCGAGGATTGTTAAGACGTTCCTAGAATTCCAGGAAAAGTACTGAGACCTTCAGAGAATTTATAAAAACTTAAGAAATATTTCAGGAACTTCATAGAAGTCCAGAGAATTGCAGGGAAGTTTAAAGGTGTTTATGATAATTCCATTTATTTCAGACCAGAACCGAGATCTCCAATAAAATTGAGAGCTTCAGGGAATCATAGGGCAGCTCAAATAATCTTAAGGAAATTGCAGAAACCTTAAAGAAGTTTCGAGAAACTCAGGAAATTTCCTATCGCAATCGCGGATCGCCCTGGAAATGGTGATCGGTGAAAAGAAATGGTGAATGGTGGAGCGGAAACCTTTAAATTGTTACAGAAACCTATGGTGAAAGATTACGAACTGATTTTATGGCAACGACTTTTAGCGCTAAACAGCGGACAAGAATTAGAACATGGAATGTACTGACGCCTTCGAGACAGGTACTTTTATATTCTGGTATGCGAGGTGAAAACGCTCCGCGACATCGTGGAGTTGGCTTTCTGCTTAGCACCCAAGCACAGGCTGCGCTCATCAAGTGGGAACCTATCAATGATAGAATAATCGTTGCCAGATTCAGAACACGGGTCCGAAACCTTACCATAATCCAATGTTATGCGCCAACCGATGATGCGAAGATCGGCTCCGACAACTCGGAATATGAGCGCATTATGGGACGCCTTGGAGGTCTTGGAGATATGAGCGAAAACGGCGAGCTGCTTGCAGAGTTTTGTGGCAACAACGACATGGTGATCGGGGGTTCGCTCTTCCCCCATCGCCCAGTGCATAAAATCACATGGGTCTCCCGTGATGGATATTCAAAGAACCAAATCGACCACATCTGCATCAGCCGAAAATAGAGACGGAGCCTTCTTGATGTTCGGAATAAACGCAGCGCTGACATCACGTCTGATCATCATCTCCTGGTCGGTGAGATCCGCCTACGCATTGCGCGGGTTCAACGGCGGGAGGAGAGACTCGGGCGGCGATTTAACATACGCCGATTGGAAGACCCAGCAAGGAAGAGATTGTTCGTCGAAGAACTCGAGGCTCGCGCAGCTAATATTCCGGAAGGTAGCAGCGTAGAAGAACAGTGGACGAGCATCAAGAATGCCTTTATTTAAACAAGCGAGAACAACCTGGGTGAGCTGCGCACTCAGATGAAGGAGTGGATCACCGATAAAACCTGGAGGAAGATCGAAGAGCGGAGAGAAGCAAAAGCCGTGATAGAGCGAGCAAGGACCCGAGGAGCCAAGAACAAGGCCCGTTAGCGGTATTCGGCTTTAGAGAGGGAAGTTAAGCGTTCCTGTACATATACGGGACAAGCGAGCGTGGGTGGACTCCCTGGCTGATGAAGGGGAGAAATCCGCAGCAACGGGCGATATCCGCCTCCTCTATGATGTTTCACGACGCCTGAGCGGGGCAAGGATGATTCCAAGGATGCCTGTGAAAGACGTGACTGGACAGTTGCTCACCGGCCCCACTGACCAGTTGAAACGTTGGTTTGAGCACTTTGAACAACTTCTCGAAGTTTCAACGGTCAACCAACCATCAACATCTCGGCATGATCCGCCAAGGGTGCTTCAGCGTTACTCGCGTCAACACTGAAGCTCCATCATTGCAGGAGATAGAAGCAGCCATCCGAAGTATGAAGTTCAGCAAAGCCCCGGGCGTCGATCGCATATCAGCAGAGATGCTCAAAGCTGACCCCATGCTATCCTCACAAATGTTGCATCAACTATTCGTCAACATCTGGGACACCGCGACTTTTCCGGCCGACTGGATGCAGGGCGTCTTGCTA